ACTAGTCAGAGAAATTACAAATTAACACAGTAAAAATTTCACTACCATAATGAATTCTGTAAACAACTATTACCTTTATAACTCCTGTTTACTTCCTCAGGCACAAGTCATATTATGTCTGTAATATTAGGAAAATATGTTGAAACTTTAAAGGTAGAAAGCTAAATACACAGTAAATGTGGGGAGGTAAAAAAACTTACTGAAATTAATTTTATCTCAATTCATCGATATAGTAAATATATATAGGAAGGTTTTACACTTATGGACAGATAGGAACATGCATTGTAGTTCATAGTAGCATTTTTTTGAGAACACAAAAATGGCACCTCATTTTCTAAAAAGTAGAAGAATTCAGAAATTTGAAATTCAAAACTATCAAAGCTAAGTTTAGAGATTTCTATGGTGAAGAAATTAGAATATTCTTAATACATTAATTATGAAGACATTTCAGAATGTGTATAGTTATAAAAATTATTAAAAAATAAATATGTTGGACAAAGGAGTGCTTAGACATATTGGTATTCAGTGTATTAACTATAAATTGGTGGTTCTCCTCCTCCCTTATTTCCATCTTGTTTCCTGCCTAAATATGTTCCTAAACTCCTCCTCTTGACAAATAGCTTAAAAATGAATGGTGGATCACATCACTTGTGCACACATATGTTAAAAAACTCCTACCCAGGTTGCCTATCCACAGACACATGCCTCTTCTTAAACTTCTTTGTATAAACCAGCTTACCCCAGAGTAATGAACAACTGAATAACCAAGAATATTTATATCATAAGTCATATCCTATGGACATATTCACATGCTGTCACTTACAGTCAATTATCACATATATACAATATATATTAAACTTTTGTTCAACTAGTAGTTCAAAAACTTTTTTGCATGACATTATGATTTGAGGTAAGCACTGTTCTTCCTCAAGTCTCAATAATCCCTATGGCTTTTATAGTCCCTGCTGTATTCTGTTTATAGAAGCACATTAGTTAAATAACTACATAAAAATTCAAACCACAGAAAAAATCTTTTATTTCCAGAAGTAGATGTCTTTTGTGATATTTTAAGTAAATGTTCTCACTTTATTTGGAATAGTAATGTTGTCAGAGAAAATGTGGTTGTTGGCAAGTTCAATTTTCATTTTTGGCAGAATAACTTATTTCACAACAACCCTCCCACTGAGAGGAGCTATAAATGCTGAGTAAAATAAAAGAACAGCTGTCTAAAGGCTCTCAAAGGCAATAAAAGATGTCAGAACTCATGAAGTCAAGGTCCTAAGACTAAGCAATTATATTAATATGGAATTGATGTTTTCTTTTGATCACTCGAGAACCAGATAGTTTCGAATAACTAAACAACACCTACTGAAATTTAGATTAGTATTGAATAAAAAGCATTAATGAACTCTACCTACATACAGAAAACACCATAACTAATATTTGCAATATATACTCAAGATGAATAGTTCTATAGCTACCAATATTGGCTGTATTATGTACCCTAAAATTAGATGCAGGCTATTTCTGTTTGTTTCAGAGAGAACTGAATTAAAAATCAGTGATTTATTTCCTTTCTACTGCTTGCTAAAATCTCTCTGACCAAAAGTAACATAGAGAAGAAGGGAATTCTTTGGCTTACACTTCCAGGCAATAATCTTTCTCTGAAGGAAGCCAGGGCTAGAACTCATGAAAGAATCATGGAGACAGGAAAAACAGAAAATCACTGCCCACATATTGGCTTTTTCTGTGACTTACGCTTATCTAACTTTCTTGTATAACACAGGACCACTTACCAAGGACTTAGTGCTGTCCTCTATCAGTTACGAAAATTGAGAAAATCCCTCACCAACATACCCACAAACGAACATGGTAAAGATTCTTACTCTAGCAAAACAAACAGTATGCACACACTTATAAGTGAATATATTAGCTGTTAAGTAAAGGATAATCATTCTAGAATCCAGAGATCCAGTGGGGATGCATGAAAAGAGAAATATATTCTGGGGGTGTATTGGGAGTGGGAGGAAATGATAGATAACAAGAGCAATCAGACAGAGGAGGGGAGGATGGAGGCAGAGTATGAGAGATATGACTAGAATTAAGAGGCATTTGGGGGTAGTGTGGAAACCTAGTGCAGTAGAAACTCCCTTGAATCTACAAGGATGACTCTAGTAATGGGACAATACAGAACCTGAACCAGCCATCTTCTATAACCAGGCAAGGCTTTCAGTGGTAGAACTGGGACATCAGGCTAGTCATAAAACCTTTGATCTACAATTTGTCCTGCCTACAAGATTTGCTGGATAATGACAGCATGAAGCTTAAAGGAGTAGTCAAACAATGACTGATCTAATTGAGGCCCAAGTCATGAGAGGAAACTAATGACCAACATTGCCTGTATGGCCACAAGACCTAGGATAGAATCATACAAAATTGACCAATTATTGAATAAATGAATAAATAAATAAATAAATAGTTAATGAAATTATTCCTAATAAATTTCTGCTATGTACATATATTGGTGCCTAAGACAAGCATCAGCAAGCAACTAAAAGAGCAAATGCAGAGAATCAGAGTCAAATATTAGGCAAAATATGGAGAACCCTTTGGCATAGGAAGAGGGAGGAACACAGGTGTTTGAACATGGTCAAAAGAATGATGCATCATGAGCATCACCTAATCACATGTGTGAGATTCCAGGAAAAAAACAAAAGCAGATGGCCTTTTAACTTGGGTGCATTTTTTTTTTCCTGAATTGTTCCTGGATGTGATTTCATACCTCCTGTGACAAACATTTGTCTCTAATTTATAAGATTTGTTTATTCTTGTTTGCTGTCCAAATTTACCTATAGAACCCAGTTGGGTCTGTGTACCCTGAATCTGGATATGGTCTTCTGCCTTGATTTCATGCTTACCAAGATATTATCTATTCTACATGCCAGACAATTGTGTTTAAATTGGTCTATCCTGAGAAAGTTCAGGGAAAGGACTGCTCCATAAATATTTAGTATGTGCTTACTGACATTTATTTACATGTTTTTTCTATTTTTCTGAACTCAAACAACATTTCTTTTTTTTTATTGAGAAAAGGAGAAAAAAAAACAAGTTTCCACCTCCTCCCAGCCTCCCATTTCCCTCCCCCTCCTCCCCCCCTACGCCCCCTCCTCCCACCCTTCTCCCCCTCTCCCCACTCCTTTCCCCCTCCCTCTCCAGTCCAAAGAGCAGTCAGGGTTTTCTGCCCTGTGGTAAGACCTAGGACCTCCCACCTCCGTCTATATCTAGGAAGGTGAACATCCAATCTGGCTGGGCTCCCACAAAGCCATCACATTACGTAGGATCAAACCCCCATGCCATTGTCCTTTGCGTCTCATCAGCCCTCATAGTTCGCCATGTTCAGAGAGTCCAGTTTTATCCCATGCTTTTTCAGTCACAGTCCAGCTGGTCTTGGTGAGCTCTCAATAGATCAGCTCCACTGTCTCAGTGGGTGGGTGCATCCCTCGTGGTCCCGACTTCTTTGCTCATGTTCTCCCTCCTTCTGCTCCTCATTGGGACTTTGGGAGCTCAGTCCAGTGCTCCAGTGTGGGTCTCTGTCTCTATCTCCATCCATCACCAGATGAAGGTTCTATGATGATATGCAAAATATTCGTCAGTATTGCTGAGAAGCTTCTGCAAAGCAAAGGACACTATCACTAAGACACAAAGGCAACCTACTGACTGGGAGAAGATCTTCACCAACCCCGCAACAGACAAAGGTCTGATCTCCAAAATATATAGAGTACTCAAGAAACTAGACTTTAAATTGCTAATTAACCCAATTAAAAAAAGGGGCACTGATCTGAACAGAGAATTCTCAACAGAAGAAGTTCAAATGGCCAAAAGACACTTAAGGTCATGCTCAACTTCCTTAGCAATCAGGGAAATTCAAATCAAAACAACTTTGAGATATCATCTTACACCTGTGAGAATGGCTAAAGTCAAAAACACCAACGATAACCTTTGCTGGAGAGGTTGTGGAGGAAGGGGTACCCTCATCCATTGCTGGTGGGAATGCAATCTTGTGCAACCACAATGGAAGTCAGTGTTTCGGTTTCTTCGGAAATTCGAGATCAACCTACCCCTGGCCTCAAACAACATTTCTTATATTATCACTGTCTTTGTTTCATTCATGTACACGGGAACTGAAGTAAAATTTTCTATAGCATTAGAATGTAGTCTGCCTCATATTTTTGATCTTCAGACCCCAGATCCAGCAGACAAGATCTGTACAGATTTGATGAAAACTTGACAGTGGGATCCAGAGGGCTTAAGGACAAAAGGAGAAGACAGCCCCCAAAATCAACTAAGCAGGTTTCACAGGAGCACACACAGGTCGAAGCAGTAGTCATAGAGTCTGCAGATGTCTCTACTAGATCCTCTGCATATACATTATAGCTATTTGATTGGTGTTCTTGTGGGGTGCCTAAGATTATGAGTGGAGTGGGTTGTCTCTGACTCTTTCTCCAGCTCTTGGAACCCTTTTCCTCCTAATGACTTGTCAAGTCTAGCCTTGATATGAGTGGCTGTGCTAAGTCTTATTGTACCATCTTATGCCATGTTTGTTGATCTTCCTAGAAAGTCTGCTCTTTTCTGAAGGGAAATATAGCAGGATTAGATCTGGGTGAGAGGGAAGGTGAGATGGGGAACTGGGAGGAATGAAGGGAAGAAAAACTATGGTCAAGATGAGAGAAAAAAAATTGAAAGACACTGTTAGGTAAATGAAACTCATTTTTCAAGGACTTTTAGGTTGTTTCATGTTGTGAATTGTTGAAAACTAGGTCAATAAGTATTTGAAAAAAAAGCTTGTGGCTGGATAGAGTTCTTAATGGTTAAGAATGCATTCTGCCCTTGCAGAAGTCTTGAGTTTAGTGCCCAGAACTCATATATGGTGGTTCCCAACCACCTGTAACTCCCGCTGCTGGGAATCCAATGGCCTCTTCTGGTCTTTATAGGAAATTTACTCATGCATATATGTCCACACAGACATAAAATGGAAAAATAAGTAGGAATGCCCCATTTTCAGATTCTTCTGTATTTATAATCTTTGTATTCATGTAGCCATCTGCTGATAGCAGGTAGCTTTTATGCTCCATTCCTTTGTTACATTTCACCATTACTTGCTTTCCTGTAAATACATTGACAAAAGGCATTGGATTGAGGAATAAAAGCATTGAAAACACTAATGAATGCTGCAAGCCATAAGCCACTGACCCTCTCTTTGCTATTCTCTGATGACTAAAGTAGTTGTTGCTAAACATTTTTAAGATAGGAAAAAATAACTTCCTCTGACATTAGTTCTGATTTTAAAATGACACCTTTTTGAAGAAGGATGCTTAAAGAAATGCCCCACTAGCTCAGAATTGAGAATAATAGAGGTTATTTATTTAGGGGTAGACTCAAGTCATAATTCAGTGCTGGAATGGAGGACAGCAACCAAATCCCACAGCTGGAAGAGAGGTCGGCCACGTGTTTTACATCTGCATAAATAGTGTAAGAGACCATGCCCAAGTGCATGGGTAACTTAAAGGCTTCTGGCAATAGAAATTGCTACAGCACCTTCCCCTTTTGTTTAAATAAGAGAGTTCTAGGCCTAATACAAAATTACATACAATATGAACAAATATATTAAGCAAGAAACATGTGATAAATGTTTCAATAATTATTCTATTCTAAGGAGTTTAAGTCTTACATAATAAACAATTTGTCCAAGTAATGAGATGAATGTAACTACAACTACCTAGTCTTCAACCCCGTCAAAGATCCAAGACAGGAAATAATATCACTTGAGTAAGGCAGGAAATGCAATCAAGCAACTTCCAAAATGTGCAACAACTGACAGAGACAACTGGATACCTGGGAAAATACCCAAAGTCTCATTTGCAACGTTGAAGCAACCAAATCTGGCTAAGGCCTAGTATGACTGACAGACCATATTCAGAGGAAGGAAAATTTTCAAAGCTGTCTTACCCTGTCTTGGCAAGATTTGACAGTCTTTTTCTTTGTGTCCTGCTTATCTATTTCTGGAGAGCATGTACCTTGTCAGTGGTTGAGGGATGGGCAGTTCCTTGCTCAAAGGCCAGTTTATTCAAGAAAAAATAAAAAACAAGCTCCAAATGGAGTTTCTTCAGTGCTCAACATTCTCCCTGGAATAGATTGGTGTTGCCAGGAGCAATCATGTCTCACATCAACAGAATTTTAAGTTATTTAAATGCCATATTCTACAGCTCTTTGAAATGATTGCAGATTACCTGTCTATGTAGAATATAATCTCTATGTATCTAAAGAACCTGATTAGTCTAACTATAAGTATGACAAACATAGATAACTATTAATCTATAATTCTTAATACCTATATAACTTAAAAATTAGCACTTCATATTAGAATATTATACAATAAGCAATTGTGTAACAGAGGATAATGACCTCAAAATGTAAACAATTTATAAGTATCTTGATCAGAGATAGAAATGTACATTGTAATATGATAAATATATCCTAAAATTGTATCAATATACAAAAATATTTTAAGCAGAGGTAGAAGCATGCATGCATATAATATGACAAGGTAACTTCATCTAGATATACAAATTTTGTATACAAATATAGGGACATATTCAACATAATTTAAATTTGTATCAATATATAAGAATATATACCAATGTAAATTACCTATAAATAATGGCTCAAAGATATTCACTCTATTACTCACTCTTACTATTAGTGTAAGTAAACTTACACTAATCTATTATCCCATTCAATCCCCTCTCCCATTTTTTTTTAGCTCTCTCAGGTTTTAAGTGGATTTTAGTTGGCCATGTGGGTGACAATTTATTGCAAGGAGAGAGGCTGCTTTGTCGTTCCCTACTGCTCAGTCCCAAAACACAGAAACTGTATTAATTAAGTCACTGCTTGGTCCATTATTTTAGCTTCTTATTGGATAACTTTTAGAGTAAGTTAACTCAATTTTATTAATCTATATATTGCCAAGTGGCTGTGATATACTGGGTAAAGTTTATAGTGTCTATCTCTGATGGCTCCTTGGCTTCTCTATGACTCCACCTTCTTCCTCCCATGCTATAGGCCAAGCCACTTCTTTATTCATTAAACAATAAAAGCAATACATATACAGAAGGACCTCCCACACCACTTTTTGATCATCTTCAGTTTTCTTGGTACTCTCTTGGGGTTAATTCTATGAATAGACACCATGCACATGGCATAGCAATTCTTTTTTGTTTGTTTGAATTTTGAAGACAGGGTTTATCTGTGTATCAGCCCTGGGTACCCTATAACTCAATCTGTAGACCAGACTGGCCAGAAACTCACAGAGGTCAACCTGCCTCTGTCACCCAGGTGCTGGTCCATGGAAATTTTCTTACAGGAAAACATTTAATTATGGCTGTATTACAATTTAGAAGTTTATTCTATTACCATTATCATGGCAGGAAGCATGATAGCACTCAGGCAGATATGATGCTAAAGACGTAGCTGGAGAAGCAGAGTTCTACATCAGGATCTGCAGGCAGCAAGAAAAGAGAAAATCATTGGGCTTGACTGGTGTTTCTGAAATTTCAATGCCCACACCCAGTGGCACTGGTCCTCCAACAAGTCCACACCTTCAACAGCAAGGTCAAACCTCCAGGAATACTATGGGGTACACTTTCATTCAAACAGCCACAGGTACTAGTAGCTTTTGCTTTTGTTTTGTTTTGTGCATTTTTCTTTTTTTTGTTTGTTTGTTTCTTTGATTTTTGAGACAATGTCTCTCCATATAGTACAGGGAATCCTGGAACTCATTGTGTATTCCAGGCCTCAACATTAGGAGCTTATATAATACTATCTTTAGATTTTTTTTGTACATAGTATTCTAATACATATTCTAATGATTTTCTATTATTTTCTGTTATAGCGGACATGTCACTGGAGGTCCTCTTGTATATCCTCTTGTCCGTGTCCTAAGAATCCTGCAATTTTGAATATGTAGTTTATTCCCCTTCCCATGCTCCAACAATTCATAGATGAGATGGATATTAGAGTGGGTCAACTTAAAGCCCTGGTTCTAGATCTGGATGGCATCTGGGTGGTCATCCCATTAGCATTCCACCATTTCAATCACCCAGGTGATCTCTCTAACAGTACCTCAGCCAGCCTACCCAGTGCAGCCTGTAGCAAGGAGCAGGGCAAATTATTACTACCAGAGCCAGCTGCATTGTCTTGCCTAGGCAAAATGCAGAGCACATTTCTTTCTTGATTGCTGTATGGGACATACTAGGTAACATAGCTCTCATGTTCTCACATCCTCAGGGCTGCATCACATGTTACCCTGACATCAGGGTTAGATCTAGTGTGCTGCCATGGTAGGCTGCATGGTTTGTTCTACTGTGTGCTGCACCTAGTGAGAGGCAGGGCTAGTTGTCATATTCTTGTGACCCTCCATCTCTCTCATCTGTCACAGATAGCAAGGTATAGATATGGGAGAGCATCTTTTCCTCACCCATGCTACCACATGGCAAATGAAGGGTCATTTCTCTTGTTCTCATGCCCTCAGGGCTGACTCACCTACAACCACTGGTTCAGCTTAAAGGGTCACCGTAGTGTACTGCCCAGGAAGGCTGCAGGACACACTCTCCCATAAGCTGGAGTCGGTGAGGGACAGTGCTAGTTCTTAAACATGTCTGATGCCAAGACCAGCTCTTTTGTTCACTGTGGGTACAAAAAGTTGGTGGTCAGACGACACTTTCCCTCACTCATGCCATCACATTGGCAGATAGAGGTTAGCTCTGTTACTCTCAGAACCTCAGGGCTATCTCATTTGAGTTCCCAATACAGAGTCAGCACTAGTCTGCTGCCCAAGTGAGGCAAATGTCCATAGTGAGGGATCAGGTCTCCCTGCTGTAGTATCCAGAGAGATGCAGGACCAGCTATACCAGGTCCAGTGATGGCTGTGACCCTGAACTATAGATTCTAGACAACACGTGGTTAAGGCCTGCTTCCAGCTCAAGCATCATGGCATGGTGCATAGCTATTATTGTTGTTATGTTGGGGTCACAGGCTAAAAACACTGGGAAGCTTCTTGTTGAACCTACCCCCACTAGCATATGGCATGGTGCTGAGTTGTTGCTTCTGTTGAGCATTAACCTAAGGCTAGAGATCCTGGGAAATTCTTGGTTGAGTCCTGACCCACACAACAGTATTTCATGGTGAAAAGCTATTGCTGTTGTTGAATCACAGCATAGGGCTTGAGACCCCATGAGGCTCCTTCTTGAGTCCTGCTACACCATCCATATAGCATGCCATGGAGATTTTACTTTATGTTGAGTTGTGCCTGTGGTTTAGAGATTCCATGGCAGTCCTGTTTGAATACTGACCCAGCAGCCTAATGGCATGGAACAAAGCTGTTGTTGTTGCTGTGTTTCAACCCTGGGCTCAAGACCTTAGATGGCTCCTAGTTGGGTCCTGCCCCTGCCAGGAGCTGTTGCTGTTGTTGTGTCATGGCTCTGGGCTAGAGACATGGAACAAATGTAGTAGTATTAAAGAGTTACACAATAGCCTGGAATGGAGTGTAGCAAATGTTTATTTATTTGGGAATAAACTCATAGTATGGGTAGCAATCTAGAATCCTCTATGCGTTCTGTTAACTGGAACCAGAAGCAGCAGAGAAAAGGGTGACCATGCATGGTTTTCTTCTGCACTTATAGTACATGAGACCTTGCCAAAATTGGGCCAGGATCTTAAAGGCTATTGACTACAGGAATTCACACCACACCTCCCACTTTTGTCTAAATAAGAAAGTTCTGTGCCTAATAAAATCTATGTACAATAAGAACAAATACCAAGTATTGTCCAGGGAAAAGTAGAGGCAAAAAATACATAAAAATTAGAATTAAAACCATCATGAACAACATTATACAAGAAACATATGTTAAATCTTTCAATAGTTCTCCTATCCTAAGGAGTCTAAAAAAAGGGGGGAAGGCCTGGATGGAATATTAGATTAGTGTGAGCTCACTAACCCTAATAATAATAGTGAGTAATAGTGTAAATAATTGTGAGATATTATTTATAGTCAATTTACATTGGTATAGATTATTGTATATTGATACAAATTTAAATATATTAAATATGTACTGATTTTCATCTGCAATATTTGTATACCTCAGCAAAGTTATTT